CCTGGAGGACAACCTGATGCAGTCTGCAGGAGAACTGAGACGTGGAGAAGACTTGGTTTCCATCAATGAGCCGAAGCAAACAGCCAAAGCTCCACAGAAATGGTTTGAAGACAACAAGGTGAAGTTCTGGAGGCCCAGTCAGAGTCCAGACCTCCGTCCTGCTGAGGATTCTTGGACTCGTGTTTTGACAGGAACGTTCAGGAATGTGTGACGTCCTTCAGTCGTCGCTTCCTGCTTCAGACGAGGTTTCAGCTTCAGGATTCGTCCTCACAGCCACACACATGTTCAGCTGTCAGAGTGACGTCGTCGCGGCCGTGACCTCCGGGCGGCGTGACGAGGTCGAGCTTTAAGTCCTAAATCACAGGAAGAGAAACCTGAGGACACGAGGAGAGTTATGGCCTCTGTTAGACTGGACCTGTGACCTCGGCAGCGCCTCGTTTCATTCTGTCAAACGGTCGCGTGAAGCTCTGTCATAATTAGTGAGCGAATTCCTCAGTTATGTGTCGAGTGTTTCTGAGGTCACGGAGACCTGCGAGACGAGCTCGGTTCATCGGCGAGTCCAAACATGGACGAGAAGGAGCTCAGAGAGAGTGGAGGCAGGAAGAAGGATGGATGGAGGGACGAGACCAGCAATAAGAAAAATAAACCCACAGGAAGGAGCAATAAGAAATCATGAAAGAAAAAATTTGAATTAAACTTTTAAAACTTTATGATCATAATTAAGAGGTTTTATTTTTTAAATACTGTGAAAAAAAATCTGTAAATATTATACTGAAATAATATTTTAACTGATTTCAGTAGAAATTGTGTAATTTTACGAATCAATATGAAAAAATAAATAAATGGAAGAATGTTTTTTTTTATTTAAATGTGGGCGTTAATTAAAGCTGAGGCCTGATTTTGTTTGTTTTACAGTCGACATAAATTAAACTTTCTTCAGTGATTTTAATATTATCTGTAATTTAACAAAACTGAAAAAAAATGACATTTAAAAATATTAATTACCCCTTTTCAAAGCTTGATTTATTAAAAACCAAACATCTATTTTCAAAAGTAGTTTGATTTTGATTTGTACATTATTTACAGGTTGGGCCTGTTTTTTAGGGGTTATTATGCAAATAATACTTTTTTCTAAGATTTTCTTTGACAATTATTCACCATTTTTCAGTTTTAAACATATACTTGTCATTCAAATTAAGGCAAATTTCAGTTAAGAATATTGTTGTTAATTAAAACACATTAAAGAAATAATTATTAACTTTATGTTCAGTTTTTTCAATTCTAATCGTTAATTAAACAAACAAACAAGGAAAATCTGCAAAATAACAGTAAATAGTTAAAAACTGCACACGTCCTTTTTTACAGTGTACGAGTGTTAATTTGTCAGATTGAGTTCTACAAAGACAGAAGAGTCCAGACAGGAACAGCTCACTGGTGTCGGATCAGAACCGTCTCTATTTTTAACTGCAGCTTGATTCATCCTTTCATGTGTGAACGTCTGAAGCACACATCTGACTCGTTACTGACGCTGGCTAACGAAGCAGCAGCAGCGGCAGCATGGTGGCTGGATTCCTAGTGTAACGCGGCGCTGCGTGGCGTCATGGCTGAACTATGCAGCTGATGCAGCCTCTCTGGGCCGGTTATGTCTGAGCATCTGGTTCTGAGTGAGTCACGGCCAACGAGGGGCTTTTCTCACTTTTCTCCTTTCTGGGACAAAGAGGCAGCGACAGAAACCAGGTCAGTGGATTTACTCGGGCTCTGCTCGACCCTGAGAACCAGAAGGAAACAGGGAGGAGGTGACGGAGCGCCGTAATCACCTCGTTAAGGGCTAATTTACCTCATTAACCAATCCAGTTACTGCACTGATACACTGTGAAAAATTAAAGGTTTTAACTTTAACTTTTTATGTTTTAACACTATAGTATTATTTTACTGATTTTCCTCTTTATTTATATCACAGATAAGATCGAGTAAAATAAAAGTATGTAACAGTCTAAAAAAAAAAATCAACCTACATGTTACCTGTAAAAGAATAAAACTTGTTTTTGACGTCACGCGAGAAAACAAGATACCAAACATCATAATCACAGCGTCCTCACTGTGAGGCACGGCGGTGGTATTATCATAATTATCATAATGTGAACAGTCCGGGGTGTTTTCCAGTAAAACAATGAACGGTAGGAAACAGGAAAATTTCCATTTTTTCACTGAAACTTTTTTTTTTAACAATTGTATTTTACAGAAAATTCCCTGTTTTGTTTAATTATAGATCATTTCTAGTAAAGTCACAGGGAAGAAATATTCATCTACGCAAAAACTAATTGTAAGAAATCAGTATTTTTATGTGGTCATGTTTCTCTTAGAGTGTGACCATAAAATTATAAAAGACTTCATTGTGTGTAAATACGCAAAAAATATTATTTTAGATATGTCATCATTTTTCCAAATGCAAAAAACAATCATAATTCTACAGATCTTTGCTGTTTATTTTAGAAAAAAAGCATGTGAAGGGTGAAAAATGACAAATTATTTTGTTAAATTGTTGATTTTTTCATGTTTTATTACATTTACAGATAATATTTAGTAAACTTTTTAAAAAACGTATTTATTCTTTTACAGTGTGTGACCATAAAGCTGTTTTACTACATTTATTTAAATTATTTTACAAATAAATGGCATTATATTTATTTTTTTTGCAGTTTTTTTTTAACATTGCAGTATTCCATATTTGTGTTTTTTACATATTTGTTGTCGTCTTGCTGCCACACCGGGACAGTTGTTCTTACGGTGGTGGTTTTACAGTGCGACTCTCCGTCTGACTCACTCTGCTGCCCTCGGACAGCGTTTCCCATGAGAACCAGGAGCAGGAAGCCTGGATGGAATGAAAACTGTGTTCATGACATTGTTGGTCTGGGCGTGAGTGTGTGCTGGAGTCCACACAAAGAAAGCCAAGTGTGAAAACAGAGAGTGTGTGTGTGTGTGTGTGTGTGTCGTACTTTAACAGCTTCCTTCCCAGACTCTCGGACCACCTCCCTCCACTCACACACACTAAAACGTTTCAAGTCCTTCTTAAAACAACAAGTAAGAGTCACACATCATCAGAGAGTTCTTCAGTCTCACACGGAGCCTCGTCGATTTCTTTTGTTTGCATTTAACTAAAAACCTGCAGCTTCTTCCAACCTGAACAACCCGATTCACACGTCATCAGCTCAGTAGAAGGCTGCATCCCAGCCCGCTTCCTGCTCATTCTGGTTCCATCGGTGTATATTTAGCCTCTTTTTATGCACATTTTGCATCTATTTTTCTATATTTAGCCTTTTTTTCTGCATATTTTGCATCTATTTGTGCATATTTAACCCCTTTTTCTGCACATTTTGCATCTTTTTGTGCATCTTTAGCCTCTTTTTCTGCACATTTTGCATCTATTTGTGCATATTTAACTTCTTTTTCTGCACATTTTGCATCCATTTGTGAATATTTTGCTTTTTATGCACATTTTGCATCTATTTTTGTATATTTAGCTTCTTTTTCTGCACATTTTGCATCCATTTGTGAATATTTTGCTTTTTATGCACATTTTGCATCTATTTTTGTATATTTAGCTTCTTTTTCTGCACATTTTGCATCCATTTGTGAATATTTTGCTTTTTATGCACATTTTGCATCTATTTGTGCATATTGAGCTTTTTTCTGCTCATTTTGATTCCATTTGTGTGAGCTGCTGTGATTTTAACATTAAACTTGGCCGTGTTGTCATTTCGGTAATATTTCTGATGAATCGTTCCTCTCCGGTCTGAGATGTTTTAAATGTTTATGGAGGTCTTTCTGGTCGGTGGCAGCAGCTCGGCGTCGACATTTAATTGTGAAAAACTGCTCCGCTGTGAAACCAGAAAAGCCTGCAGAGGAGTTCTGGCGGGTTCGGGTCTGGAAAATGTCTCTGCAGACGGAGATAAGCTGCAAAGTGGAAACATTGGGAGCAAGGCAGCAGCGGTGCCAGAGCCGCGGGTTTGATTCCCACCACGACGGTTCCACGAGTTCGGGAGGAAAAGTGCTCCGTTGGGGCTTTTTGTGGGGCGAGAGCAGCTGCTGAGCTCATATGACCGAACCAGATTCCTCAGGTTTTACAGCAGGAATGCTGAGTGATATTCCAGCCCGAGTCTGTTTGAGCTGCTGCATGTTCAGATGTTTCTGCAGCTCAGCCTGAAGCAGCACAAGGACGAGTTCTTGAACAGGACGTGTTCGCTGGTCGTCTGACAGAAAAACGACCATCGTCTTCATCGTCTTCATCGTCTTCATCGTCACGCCTCAGAATAACTGCAGTGGCTTTATGAATATGTTTCAGTCTCACCTCAGATTTTTACTGTTCAAGATGTAATTTATCTTCATGACAAACCTGCACATACCAGCTTCATGCTTCGATTCTGAATGTCGTCTAGAGATCATCAGGACAGTAAAACCGTTGCTGCCTTCTGTTTCCTCCTCCAAACTAGCGCTGGGACTTCAACGGCTTCATTACCATTAATTTAAAAAAATACCACATTTAATCGCACTTCTCTCAGTTAGCTAAGTTCTGGCCCACCGGTAACGCTGATGCAGTAACGCTCTGGCTGGTAGGTGGCGCTAATGGACCTGAAGCTTGTTTCCAGCTGTGAAGAAGCTGCACCGAGTGACGTCAGCGAACAAGAAAGTTTGTGACGGAAGACGAGACGCGTCGCTGGGCTTGTTAGACTGTAAAGGTTTTTTTGTTTTCTTTTTTTACTTTTTGGGCAGAAAGTTTTGGGGTTTTTTTGGCTTGCTGGGTGGAAACTTTTTTTCTAATCTAGTCCTAATGCTACGTGTCCACAGGGGAGGTTTTGCCAAAATTTGCATAAAGTTCAAGTCGAGTCTTCTTCATGCAAATGAGCTCGTTTCACGACACGACGAATGTGAAGGCAGGAACTGATGGATCCTGTGGACACGTAGAACGAGGCAGCTCAGATACGAGCAGGTTGTGTGAAACCTGTGCAACAAAAAGTCTTAAAGTGTTGAATATAATCGCTGTGATTGCACTAATCTGTAGACAGATGGAAATGCAGGTAACTATAGATGAAAAACAAACATTTCTGTTGTTTAAGTTCACGTACATTCATTGATTCAGTCGTCAACCAACATTAATTTGAATTGAAAAACATTGCTGTCAAATATTGATCAAAATGCGATTAATCATGATTAATTATTAGAAAGCCTTTAATGGCGTCCCACCACTAGTTCAAACATCAGCTCCATCTTTCACCCTGAAGAGACGTCCAGCGTGTGACCAAACGTCTCATAAACACCAAACAATCAGTCGAGCAAATCGGCAGCTTCTAGATTCAGAGTTCAGCTAAACTGGATTTAACTCAGAACGCAGCACGACAGTTTAAATTAAAGTCGACTAAGAGACAGCAGACTCTGTGCGGGTCTGCGGTTGTTTTCAGGGCTGAACTCGGACTCTGGAGGTGGGTGAAGCTCCTACCTGTTGAACTCGTAGATGTCCTCGATGTTGCAGAACAGCGTGCTGACCTGCTCCGGCTTCAGAGGCAGAGCGCCGCAGTCGATGATGCAGCCCAGGTAGTCCTGCAGAGACACAAAGAGGTCCAATCGGTCACAGCGTCCACCTTCACGGCTCGACTGAGGAACCTTCTCAAAAACAGGACGAATCGAGAAAAGCACCTGTTTATGGTCGAGCAGATAAACGAGCCTAAATTAGCTGCTTTCTTAGCTTAAAAAAAGTTCACACAGTTGAATTTATTTGATCTAAATCTGCACTAATCAGCAGCAGGAGTGAAGGTTTGGCTCCAGGTGAACTGAAGGAGAACCTGCACACCTGGTCCACCTTTCATCACCTGCTGCTCCGGCTGAGCTGCATCAGCTGACGACCAAACAAACAAACTGTAGCTTTGTTTTGTCGCCGCTCTGCTTTTAATTTATACATTTTTATTCCTGTTTATTTGATTTTTAGTCATTTCCACCTCTGAGCTCATGTCTCTGACGCTACACTCACTTCATCTGCTTTCATCTTTAATTTATTTTCTCTTTTTAAAATACGTTTCTGCTCGAGAGACATTTTCTTTCGTGTGTTTCAGAACCTATAACGCGTTGGTTTGGACTGTTTTTATCTGTATTTTCTTTATTAGTTCTGATTATTTTGTTACTCGTGAAGCATTTTAAAACTTCAATTTTGAAAAGCACCCTAAAAGTAAAGGTTAATAAATTCAAATTATAAGTCAATGAGTTCTTCTGATTCCCAATATGACTGTCTCAGAACCAGAACTTATTAATGGAAAGAAAATTAAGCAGCAAATGAGGTGGAAAGACTTACACCTGGAAGCAATCTGAATTATTAAAGTGAAATATTTCCTTGGCTCTGAGGTCAAACGTGGCTTCTACAGTCTTTTACTGCAGATATTAATATTAATTTCCCTTCAGTTCAGTTTGGGGCCAAAGAGAAACAGAGGAGCTGATGTGATTGTCTGTTAATAAATGCAGTCGTGTAATCTGATTACAGCCTTAAACCACTTTATCAGTGTGTTACTGGACCAGGATGTAATGGAAACTCGCGCAAATTAAATCCATCGTTAAACCTGTCAGAGTCCAGCTGAGGTCATTTCCTGTCGCAGTCGGTAATTAGATTACGGAGGAACCGGAGAAAAGTGTTTCACACATTCAGCATCATCACGGTTTTATTATCAGCAGCAGAAAAACTGTCAAAGAAAAGCAGAATGTTTGGAGTGAAACGGCAGAGATTCAGAGAAATGTGTTGAAACAGAAAACACTGGGAGAGAAAAGAATCCACATAGTTAAGGATCCAGCAACTTTTCTAAACTCCAACTGTTTCCAGGGCTCGTCCGGGATTTGAACCCGGGACCTCTCGCACCCAAAGCGAGAATCATACCCCTAGACCAACGAGCCACGGATTCCACTTATTTCAAACAGATTTTCAAGTTTCTTCTTTTTCGCCACAATCATCCGATATCCTTCACCCTCACTCGTGGTAGTACTAGTCAAAAAAATCATGACCGTTTATTGTTTCTATTTTCTGTTTGAATTATGAGAGAATCCAAACATGGAACCTGGTCATTTTGGACAAAGTCGGAGGTGTTTTGGGTGGATGGACGGGTCAACAAAACACTTGGCTTTCACACAAGAAAGCACTGATTGTGTCCCATTAGTAGCACCACCAACAGCTACTGCTAACCCAGGAAGTGAACCAATTAAGGGCTCGTCCGGGATTTGAACCCGGGACCTCTCGCACCCTAAGCGAGAATCATACCCCTAGACCAACGAGCCCACAACCAGCGTTAATTCGTATTAAGAATGAACGGAGCCAAAGGTAATGAGGACATCATATAACAAAGTGATATAGAGCTGTTGGGGTGGATGGACAGATCAACAAAACACAGACTAATTCCTTATCGTATGTGCTAATATTGAAACTGACCTCATTAAGGACTCGTCCGGGATTTGAACCCGGGACCTCTCGCACCCGAAGCCAGAATCATACCCCTAGACCAACGAGCCAAGAACCAGCGTCAACTTCTATTAAAAATGAGCAAATACAAACAAAGTTAGGGTCTATTGTTATGAAGTTATTTGAAGTTGTTGGGGTGGATGAACGGACCAACAAAACCCTGAACCTGGTTTGGATCTGACACTAAGCGTGTGCCTTTTACCCACGATAGGCTGATGTTCTGTTCCTAGGAATCCGTGTAATTGTAAGTCTCGTAGATTCATTCAGGGTCAGTTAGTTTGAAGCTGATGAAGTAAACATTCAGTTAAATAAGTTAGACCATCAGTCTGGGGAAGAAGATGAAACGTGTTTGTGTTGTTGTTGGGATGTTAAAGATGCAGCATCCTCTCAGCTCTTGTTCCCAAAGATCATCTGTGACCGTCATAACTCTCTGATAATTAATGTTGTCCTCATTTCTGTCACATTGGATGACAAAAAGCATATTTGGTGGTTGAGTGTGAGCGACTTGTGGCCGCCGTCTCGTCGACACCAGCAGACAAATTCACATTTTATTGCCATAATTTGCATTTTTTGGGGATTTTTGTCCAGCGGATTGTGTTTTCTCATGTTTCCTCTCTTTCTGTTGGTGACCCATTTTCAGACTCTCCTTCATTCTTCGCTGTTTGTTTGAATGGAAGCATCTCTTCCTCATTCCTGCCGCCTCCGTCTCTTCAGCCTCTATCATTTCTCACTCATCTCGGCCTCCATGCCCTGCGGTGTGAACTGTGTTTCCTGCTGAGCTCAGAAAGGTGATGAATTGAGCCTCATTATAAACCCGACATGCACGAGAACAGAGAGTGTGTCGGAGGGAAAGTGCTTGTCTTGGACTCGGTTTAGGAAAAAACTGAGCAGAGAAAGAATAGATGATTAATGTCGGCAGTTGTCTCACAGAAATAATGTTTCTGTACAACTAAACTGACACAGCAAGAAACAAAAGAAGGAAATGTAGCTGTGAAATGTTGCTATGTAATATATT